CACAGAACTTTACCTCAAGCAAAAGCACTCTGTCCTCCTCAGTGTAATACTTAGACTGGGTTCTCCACCCAGCAGCAGGCAGCTCTGGTACCTTCTGGGAACTTGTTAGATTCCCCAGACCTCAGATGCTGTCAGTGTATGGTCCCCTCTACCCTCCAGAGCACTATAATGTCTGCAGAGGACATGCCCTTCATTCCCCAAAGGTGACAAACAGCCTCACTTAGCATAATGATTAGCATGGACCCTATGGCAACCATTGATGGCTGTTTGACAACTTTTAGCATTCCCACTTTGCAACCACACTTTGTAAGGTGTATGGTGTTTCCGCCCGCCACCGCTGGTCTTGTCCTGCTGCTGCGCCAGCCCCAAATAACACAGAGAGACTCTGTATTTGATACAATGCTGTTGGCCCTGTTACTTGTTTCTTATTGGCTAGCTCTGCCTTATTTATTAACCCATTTCTGCTGATCTATGTTTTTTCACATGGCCTTCTCTTACCGGGCAGGCGGCTGGCGTCCAGCTCTCTCCAGACTCTCCATCTTGACTCCTCCTTACTACTTCCTATTTCCTCCTTGTCTCCTAGTCCCTCCTATCTTCCTTTCCTATTGGCCAACAGTGCTTTATTATTAACCAGTATGAGAAACATATATACATAATGGCATCTCCCATCATCTCCTCTTTTCTGTCTAAATAAAAAGAAGGGTTTTAACCTTAGCATAGCAAAATATATTACATAACAGTTATCAAATAAGAATCACAGTTAACAATATTTAGTCCATTAACATTTATCAAGATTAAAAGAAACTATTCTATCATCTATCCTATATTTGTGAGTCCAAAGTCCTATTTGTAACTTATCTGTAAACCTAACTAAGGAAAACGATAACCATAACTATCTGTCTTCAACTCCTTCAAAGACCACAGAAGGATAATATATAAACTCTAGAAATGACAGAGACAACTCACTGCCTGGTCACCCAAGGTTCTTTTGTAATCTTCCATCTTCAGCCCATAGGCCATAGTGTGTCTAGCAGACTCTTCAGCAACACAGGAAACTTTAAACTGTCTTCTTGTATTGGCAGTTTATCAGTCACTTTTCTCTGTGTCCTGCATACTGTCTCGCAGACTCTTCCATGAAGCAGGAACTCTGTAGCAATGTCCATCTTGAATCAGCAATCACTTTTCTATGGGTCCTGCATGTCCAGTTTATATAGCACAAAGTCAAACAGTCCAGACAAGAGCAGTATCTTGTCCACATGGCTAGTCTTGCCATATTGAAAGCAAACTCCATAACGAGTTTCTTCAATGTCCATCTTCCTTTCTGTTGCAGGTGGTATTGCCAAGAGCAATTATGTCTCACTGTCACGAAAATCCTAAACCATTTTAAATGCCATATTCTGTAGGTCTTTGAAAGGTTTGAAGAATGCCTATCTATCTCAAATACATCTCTGTTTATCTTGAAAACCTAACTAACTTAACTCTAAGCTTTGACTATCATAGGTAATTATCTATAATCTGTACTACATTATACATTACATTTCTAAATGAGCTATATAAACACAATACCTAAACAAGAAGAGAAATATACATATCACAACATTGACCTTAAATTGTATCAGTAAATGAAAATCCATTCCAATACAAAGTATCCATATCTATACCATAATTCCCTTTTTACCTTTAAAAAGAATATTGGTTGTGATCATTAACCATTTATAACCAAGTCCATTTAAATGAAAACAAACATTTATAAACAATATTTGGGAATTTGGGCGTCGTTCTTTCCAAACTACTTCCTGCTGACAGGGGGTGCTGTCATGGGGGATCCTGAGAAGACGCAGAAATCTTGGCTGTAGTCTGCAAGGCTGTTTTGTTCAGCTGTTTTGAATGTTGGATCACCAACAACCCTGTTTCAGGGGGCCTGGCTTGCTCAAACCACATTAGTCTGGAAGGAATCCACAGCTTTTCATTTTCTGTGGAAACAAAAATAGAAATTCTTTTCCCCAGTAACTTGTCCTTAGACTTAAATTTTTGAGTCAAAGCATTTTTAAAATATATAAATTGAATTAATCCAGCAGCATTTCCTTTATCAGTTGTTATTTTCTCAGCAGTCAAACAATGTAGAGACAACACAATAGCATACAGTAACCAGATTCTCTCTGAGCTTTTCATCTTTACGTGGCTTTATTATTACTGTTTATTTTACTTTTATTTTTTTATTTTTTGACATAGGGTTTCACTGTGTAACTCTTATCTGTCCTGGAATTTACTCTGCATACCAGGTTTACTTTGCAAATCACAGAGATCTGCTTGCCTCTGTCTCCTGAGTGCTGGGATTAAAGGCGTGTGCTACAACACCCAGTTCCTCTTTGTCTATTTAAAACCATTTTTTTTTCATGTCTACGTATATTCTAAAACACACTGTAAACCTTTAGAGGTTTTTCTTAATATGAATCTGTCTTTACTGTAAATCTTTATCTTCGTCTGGCCACAAGTCTTTTATCTGGTAAACAACAACATTGCTAAAATGAAAGTCATAGCTGTGTCAGCCGTGGTTATCAAAGATGGTGGCGGGTGCTTTTACCGCCAGCAATGAAAGCTGTGGTCACTGCTCTCGTCAACGCTGCCATCCAGCAGGCATGCTGCCGGCTTGGAGATGTGGTCACTGCCATCACCATCTCTCATATACACCAATAAACTGTTAGCTGTGCGGTTTTTTGCCGTTTATGTTGAGTCAGGAACCTTCCCTTAAAGGAGCCACGCGAATATCTGCTTGTCTCTAGCAAGTCAGAGTCCAACCGAGAAAAATGCTGTTACCAAGAAACCTTGCTTGTCTCTGTTCTTTTGTTTGTAAAACCCTTTTTAAAGCTTTTGTTAAATTTTAAGTGGAAGTTCTTACTAGCCACGTGGGCGCCATTTGTAAGGAGAATGGGTTTTTCTACCCGCCGCCGGCTCTTGTTCTGCCACCAAGCCAGCCCCAAAATAACACACAGAGACTCTGTATTAGATATTATATGTTGGCCAGTTACTAGTTTGTTATCGGCTAGCTCTGTCTTAATTATTAACCCATTTCTGCTGATCTATGTTTTTCTCTTACCGGGGAGCCGGCGGCATACTGCTTTCTTCAGACTCTCCATCTTGACTCCTCCTTACTACTTCCTATTTCCTCCTTGTCTCCTAGTCCCTCCTATCTTCCTTTCCTATTGGCCAACAGTGCTTTATTATTAACCAGTATGAGAAACATATATACATAATGGCATCTCCCATCAACACTTCACCACCGTTTGCTTTCATTTCTAATGACTCTCACAATGTGTTCCCTTGTGCCTTTCCTTTGGGAAGTTTTATGCGGGCATGGAATGATGAAAACATAAAATGGCAGCCTCCTTAACCAAAATAATTCTTTGGGGAAAAAATCCACACTGCTGTGGAACCAGGAATCCCATTGTCCCCTTATAATTACACCAAGAACAAGTTAGAGATTTACTAGACATACCTGATCCCAAGGATGAAATGCCTACAATTCAAATCCAGAGCCTGAGATGGCCATAAGAGCAAGCAAGAGTTCAGTTAGTAAGTATAGAGAAGCCAGAATGGTGCAGTATAATGGAAAAAGTAAGACATCAGGACCTTCCCTTTGGGGAGTGTTTGAAGGGAACAGGCCCATAGAGTAAGACACAAAGGGATGCAATTAGGGAACAGCAGGGCTTATCCCATTGAGGAATGAAAATTGCTCTTAAGTTGTATTATAGTGTCTGATCCCTGGAAGAAGTCCTTTTCCCCAAGGTCAGGCATTTGGAAACTGAGGAAAGTTGCAGCTTGCAAGAGGAACTGCCCTTCATTAACATATGACTGGTGGCAGATTCCTCAGCTCCTGACCTCAAAGCCACACCCAGCTCACATTTAATCCTATGTGCAACTCTAGTGTATAAAAGGTGTATTATTTTTCTAATAAATGCTGCTGGAAGCCATCTGGATTTGGGAAGACACATAGGTTGAAAGTGACTAAAAAGAGAGTGTTATAATACCAGGAGGCATTAATCCCAATGTTGAGAATAAAGCAACGACCACTACCACAACTGAGGCAAGACTGAAGTTCCTTGGCTTTCCTATATCGAAGCAAACCAGGACATTAAGGAACATTAAATTCAAATTTAAAATCTCTCTTCCTCCCTCCCTTCCTCCCTCCCTCCCTCCCTCTCTCTCTCTCTCTCTCTCTCTCTCTCTCTCTAAACCGGGCGGGCCTCGAACTCACAGAGATCCACCTGCCTCTGCCTCCCTAGTGATGCCTGGCTCATCATAGGGTTCATAACTATTTCTAGCTACTCCAAGACCTCCCAACCCCAATGATTGACGGATGACAGCTGATTCCAAACATTGAGAGAGCCACACGGGAAGGTGATGGTTAAGGGACCACCTAGAAGAGAGCTGACCATTGGATAGTGGAGTCTCAAAAGTGGTTTAGGAAATCGTGTGGTGGCAAGTGCTTTTGAGCCCAGGACCTGGAAGGTGGGAACAGGTGAATCTCAACTCAGGCTACTTAGGGAGAGACCCTGTCTTAAAAAAGACAAACCAACCAATGAAAAACCAGGAATGTTTTATGTGTCAGACAGCATGGGGTGCTTAAGTGAGGGAGCACTGGGTTCATTTCCATCCAAAACCCAAACACAAGAAACCAAAACAAAAAGTGGCAAAAACTTAAAACATTACATAGGTGTTCTAAGAAACGTAAAGGCGAATGCATTGCAACTGCAGTTGAAGACGATTTCTGGAGTTTGAGTTTGCAAACATGAACTCTGAAAGCCTTACTGTCCTCTGAAAGCCTTGCATTTGCTTGCGTTTCTATTAAAGACAGTATGACAACGAATGCGTCCTTCAGCAGAAGGGACAAATAAAAGACAAAAGGAAGAAGGAAAGGAGGCTTGGAGTCAGGAGCTGGACCGCTGGCATCCCCCAGCCCCGCCCAGCTAGGAAACCATGGGGGGGGGGAAGAGCCGGAGGCACGCGGAGGTACTTCCGGTGCGAGCGCGCGCTACTTCCCGGCTGGTCTTGCGTCCAGCCGCCATTCCCGAGGCCGTGCGGCCTCCCTCCCGGCTTTTCCTGGGGGCGTTTCCTCTTCTTCACTTCGGGACACATCGCAGGAGGGTGAGGAGCTGGCGGGCGCCTTGGTGCGGACTGCGGAGGGCGGGCCGGCGGGCGCCTCGGTGAGAGCGGGCGGGCGCATCGGTGCGCTCGGCGCGGCCTGGAGGCCGGAGCGCACAGTGGGCTCCTCTGCTCGCCGCCTCGGTGGCCGGGGTGGGAGGGCTCAGAGTCGGTCTCGAATTTACTGTGGGGCTACTCTCCAGAGTCCCCAAGGATCGGTGATCGTCAGCAGAAGCCACACCCCCGACGTGGACCACGGACCGGTTAGTCTTGTCCGGGGAACCCAGCCCCGTGTTTCCGAGGGAGGGCACTTGCTATGGGGTCTAAACTGGTACCAGTCTAGCGTTGCCTCCCTTTTGAACTTGAAGTTGCTCGGTGTCCAGCGGTTCTGCCCCCCTCGGCAAACAGATGGTGCTTGTCAGGAACATAAGGAACTCTGGGAGCAGTTAAATTACTCTAAGGACCTCAATGGTGCACAGGTGGTGCGCAGCGCGCTCTGCAACATCAAGAGTGGCCTCTCCTGCAAACGGTGGACGTTCTAAGTTTAGGCTGGGCTTGCGGCTCGCTGGTTGAGCCTTTGCTTAGCAAGAGTGAGGCCTTGGGTTCCATCCCAGCATGAGGGAACAAAAAGTATCAGTCGTTACAAACTACCCCACCAATTAACGCAAATTGTTAATAGAATCAGAAAAATAAGTAGAAGCGTGGGGAGTTCTTTGCGCTTTCTGTTCAGTTTTTCTTTAAACACAAAGCCAGTTAAAAAATTTATAGCCTTTAAAAAAAAGCACTTCATAAAGAAACAGTGTTACACAGTATGTGTACAAACTAATAAAATCAATGTCTTGATTTGTTTTCTGTTGCTATGGTCAAAAATAATTTGGGGGAGGGAAGAGTTTGTTTCATCTGATAGTCCATTGTTGAGGGAATTGAGAGCAGGGACTCAAGCAGAAAACACGGAGTGAAGCTGCTTACTGGCTTGCTCCCAGCCTCACAGTTCAGCTCTCTGAACCAGCAAAGGTCTACTACATGTTTAGGGATGGTACTTACCATATCTATTGGAAATCAAGAATGCCCCACATTTTCTTGGCTATAAACCAGTCCGATAGACACAGTCCTTCAGTTGAGGCTCCCTTTCCCCAGGATGCCAATTTGACAGCCAGTCAGTTTACACGTGTTCTGTGTTGAGTTTTTAATATCAAAATTTATTACTAAAGATTTATTTATTTAAGAATACAAGTGCTTTATTGACTTTATGCCAGAAGGGGGCATCATGTGGTTGCTGGAAATTGAACTCAGGACCTCTGGAAGAGCAGCCAGTGTTCTTAACCTCTGAGCCTACTCTCCAGCCCCCAAAGTGTTCTTTTGTTTTGTTTTGTTCTGTTTTTCGAGACAGGATTTCTCTGTATTGCTTTGGAGGCTGTCCTGGAACTAGGTCTGTAGACAGAGATCTACCTGCCTCTTCCTCCCACGAGTGGTGAGACTAAAGGTGTGTGTCACTAACATCCGGCTCCATAATGTATTTTTAGAAGAAGATCCATAAGGCTTCACACCTTTAATCCCAGGTGCACACCTTTAATCCCAGCACTCGGGAAGCAGATTCAGATGGATCTCTTGAGTTCAAAGCCAGCCTGGTCTATATAGTGAGTTTCAGGACAGCCAGAGCTATGCAGAAAGACCTTATCTTAAAAAAAAAAAAAAAACTATCAAATAGTATTAGGTTTCAAGGAAGAAAATGTGTGGGGGTAGGTGTGTGACAGATACCCTACAGTGTACCACTGTATAGAAGACTACTATGTGGTCAGCTGACCACACCAGTGGTTAGAGCTCATACTTTAGTGAATTATTTTTAGTTAGTGTTGGGAGTGTTGGAATCTAGCCTCAAGTTTGTGGGCATTGTTAACAAAGATTCGTTATCAGGTTATTATGGAGTTGAGTTGGTGGGGAGGATCTGTAAGGAGTTGGGGGAAGGCAAATCATGATCAGAATATATTGTATGCAAACAATTTTTTTTTCATTTAAAAAGCCTTAAGAATGCTAACAAAATTTTAAAAGGTAGAGTTACTTTCTCAGTGTTTTTCTCTGTTGTAAAATGAAAAGATTGGACCCAAGTCCTGTAGGCCATTTTCGAACTGTATTGATTGCGAATTTCTCATTGTACTACTACTTGACAGAATACCTTGTTCCAATTCATGATAAAGCATTTTTATAAAACTGTTTTCTGGGGCTGGAGAGCTGGTTCAGGGGTGAAGAAAACTTGTTCTTGCAAAGAACCCAGGTTTGATTCTCATCACCCACAGGGTAGCTCACAACTGTCTGTAGCCCTAGTTCTGATGCACTCTTCTCTTGGTACCAGGCACACATGCAGTGCACAGACATAAATGTGAGCAAAATACTCAGATACATAAATTTTTTTAAAAAGTAAAACTTTTCTGAGCCGGGCTTTGGTCCGCCGCGCCAGCCCCAATTAACACACTGAGACTCTGTATTTGATATAATTCTGTTGGCCCATTACTAGTTTCTTATCGGCTAGCTCTGTCTTAATTATTAACCCATTTCTGTTAATCTAGTATTTCCACGTGGTCCTCTTATCGGGGAGCCGGCGGCATTCTGTTTTCTCCAGGCTCTCCATCTTCACTCCTCCTTTCTACTTCCTCTTTCCTTCTTGTCTCCTAGTCCCTCCTATCTTCCTTTTCTATTGGCCAACAGTGCTTTATTCATTAACCAGTATGAGAAACATATACAGAATGACATCTCCCATCATCTCCTCTTTTCTGTCTAAAATAAAGAGAAGGGTCTTAACCTTAACATAGCAAAATATATAACATAACAGTTATCAAATAAGAATCACAATTAACAATATTTAGCCCATTAACATTTAGTAAGATTTAAGAAAACATTTCATCATCTAACCTATCTTTGTGTGTCTAAAGTCTATTTAACTTATCTTTAATCCTAATTAAGAAAAACTGTAACCATAACTGTCTGTCTTCAACTCCTTCAAAGACCACAGAAAGATAATATATAAACTCAAGAAGTGACAGAGACAACTCACTGCCTGGTAAGTCACCAGAAGTTCTGTAATCTTCCATCTTCAGCCCATAGGCCATAGTATGTCTGCCAGCCTCTTCAGCAAAGCAGGAAAGTTTAAACTGTCTTTCTGTATTGGCAGTTTGTCAGTCACTTTTCTGTGTGTCCTGCAGACTGTCTGGCAGACTCTTCCATGAAGCAGGAACTCTGTAGCAATGTCCATCTTGAATCAGCAGTCACTTTTTTGTGGGTCCTGCATGTCCAGTTGATACAGCATAAAGTCAAACAGTCCAGACAAGAGCAGTATCTTGTCCAAATGGCTAGTCTTGCAAACTCCATACGTGTTTCTTCAATGTCCATCTTCCTTTCTGACATAGGTGGTGTTGCCAGGATCATTTATGTCTCACTGTCAAGAAAAACCCTAAACCATTTTAAATGCCATATTCTGTAGGTCTTTGAAAGGTTTGAAGAATTCCTATCCATCTCAAATACATCTCTGTATCTTGAAAACCTAACTAACTTATCTCTAAGCTTTGACTATTATAGGTAATTATCTATAATCTATACTAAATTATACATTACATTCCTAAATGAGCTATATAAACACAATACCTAAACAAGAGAAATATAGATATCACAAAATGGACCTTAAATTGTATCAATAAATGAAAATCCATTCCAAAACAAAGTATTCATATCTATACCATAATCCCCTTTTTACCTTTAAAAAGAGATTGGTTGTGATCATTAACCATTTATAACCAAGTCCATTTAAATGAAAACAAACATAAACAATATTTGGGAATAGTATTCATATCTATACCATAATCCCCTTTTTACCTTTAAAAAGAGATTGGTTGTGATCATTAACCATTTATAACCAAGTCCATTTAAATGAAAACAAACAAACAATATTTGGGAATTTGGGCGTTGTTCTTTCCTGCTGGTAAGGGGAGCTGTCATGGGGATCCTAAGCAGATGCAGCAATCCTGGCTGTAGTCTGCAAGGCTGCCTGTTCAAGCTGTTTTGAATGTTGGATCACCAGGAACTCTGTTTCAGGGGGTCTGGCTTGCTCAAACCACATTAGTCTGGAAGGAATCCACAGCTTTTCATTTTCTGTGGAAACAAAAATAGAAATCCTTTTCCTCAGTAACTTGTCCTTAGACTTAAATTTTGAAGTCAAAGCATTTTTAAAATATATAAATTGAATTAATCCAGCAGCATTTCCTTTAACAGTTGTTGTTTCCTCAGCAGTCAAACAATACAAAGACAATATAATACCATACTGTATACAAATTCTCTCCAGAATTTGTGGCTTTTCTATTTTTTGAGACAGGGTTTCTCTGTGTGTCTCTTATCTGTCCTGGAATTTACTCTGCATACAAGGTTTACTTTGAAATCACAAGATTTGCTTGCCTCTGTCTCTCAAGTGCTGGGATTAAAGGCATGTGCTGCCACACCCAGCTGTTCTCTGTCTTTTTAAAACCATTTTTTTAAAATTCTCTCCCAAGCCTACGTATTTTTTAAAACACACTGTAAACCTTTAGAGGTTTTTCTTAATATGAATCGGCCTGGTTTACAGAGCGAGTTCCAAGACAGGTTCCAAAATACAGAGAAACCCTGTCTCGGAAAACCAAAAATAAGTAAATAAATAAATAAAACTTTTCTGTATTATTTGTAAATTCTCCTTAGTGACATTACATGTCTGTGTTCACAAGTGATTATTTTTTAATGCTGCTTGCCAACATGCTATGTTTGCAATTTGCTAGGCTTCTCCCCCCCCCCCCATTCTTTCCATTGCTAATGCTAGGCAAGTGCTGTTCCATTAAGCCACACCCCTGCCCCCATTAGATATTCCTACAAGTATTCTTGTCTGCTGTGAGGTGGTGGTACTTGCTTTTAATTCCAGCACTTGGGGATGGGGGGCCAAAGGCAGGCGAATCTCCCCGAATTTCAGACCAGCCTGGTGTACCGAGTGAGTTCTAGGACAGCCAGGGCTGCACAGAAAAACCCTGTCTTAGAGGGGAAATGCTTATCCAGAGCTGGAGACTGGAGATGCACCTTAGGTTTGTGCAATTGATACATGGATTACAAAGCTTGATTGTGCTGGCTTTTCTTTGTTTGATCATGGTATCTAAGGATATCTTGTCTTTTGTCAGGTTCTGATTATTTGCCTGATGTTGATTGAATAGGACCTTTAATGTTAGTCTTACATGTTTCCTCAGCTGTGTATTGGAGTTACTGATGCTTTTTAATTTTTGAGACAGGGTCTCTGTGTATCCTGGATGTGAAACAATTTATAGCTGAGGGTGACCTTCAAGCTCTTGATTTTTGAAATGGGCACACAGGTATTCCCTACTTTTAAAGTCTGTGAAGTTCCCAGTCTTCATGAGACAATATTATAACTGTGAGCACACACTGACAGGTACATGGAAGGGTTACAGGGGTAAACAAATGGATGGCTTGTCCTGGCTCTAGAGAGCTGTGGCTAGGTGTGCAATCAAGCTGAGATGACAGGTGGTGAAGGGTTTGTGGGAAATGGGCATCTGACTGGAAGTGAAGAGAAACTGAGAGGAAGTGGGAATGTGCCTTGCTTTAAGGTGACCAGTCTAAAGGATGAATGGATTTGCCTATTGGGTAAGGCAACAAGATGGACAGTAAAGGAGAAAAAATGCCTTGGGGAAGACTGCAAGTTTGAAGAGTCAGGGAATTAATTACATGTGAATAGCACTTGAGAACTGGCAGGAATTAGACTAAAGAAGACATGTGCCATGTTTAGAGTTATACTGTGTCTAGGAGACTCAAGAAGTTGTGAGCAGGCAGTTTACACTAATTGGGCTTTGGAGTTTGGGAGATGAAGAGGTGCTTGGCAGGTGGGTTGAGAAGAGGAGGGGTGGGGCTACAGAATGAAAGTGGTGATAGGGGAGGGGTGGTGGATGTGCTAGAGCTCACCAGGAGTGTATTGATTGGCAGTGTGTCTGCCTGGCCAAATTGTGCTTGCCTTTTCACAGAGCCCTTTTGCTTTGTGTTCTTGGTCCTCTTGAATGTCAGTGATGGTTGGGATGTACAGAATATCTGTGTGTGTCTTTTTTGGGCTTTTTTGTTTACCAAGACAAGGTTTCTCTGTATTACAGTCCTGGCTGTCCTGGAACTCTTATAGACCAGTCTACTCTCTGTACTCATTGTACTAGCAATCTGAATGCTTGTCAAAAATGTGAAATTACATAAGCTGCGAATTAATGGGGGAGTGACAACATGGACAGATTGGAATGGGGAGGATTATGTAAATACATTACATATCTATGAAATTGTAAAAATGAAAAATAGCAAACCAAAGGATATAAGTGTTTAAAAAGAAGAATGAAACAATTGAAATTAGAAAAAACATACTAAATGACTAAAAAATAAGGTAAGAAAACATAACTTAAGCCAGATGTGGTGAAGCATGTTTGTAAATCTAGCAGGTGGATCTAGGCAGGTGGATCAAGAACTTAAGGCCAGCTGGGGTGTGGTGGCAGGCAGTGACAGCTGCGCACAATTTTAATCCCTGCAGAGACCGAGACCGGTTGATGTCTGTCAGTTCAAGGCCAGGCTGGTCTACAATGCAAGTTCCAGGATAGCCAGGTCTACACAGAGAATCCTTATCTCGAAAAACCAAAAAGAAAGACATAGTAAAGTTGATGTGGTTTACTCCTGTAATCCCAGTACTCATGAGATTGAGGTAGAAGGTTTGTCTTGTTTTCAGGTGGTTAATCAGTGCAAACTAGCCCTGCTTAAAAAAAAAAAAAAAAAAAGGAAGTAAGCAAACTCAAAGAAGGAAAACATTAAGTAAGCATCAGTGTGATATACTAGTTGCCACCTATTATAGGAAGGACAATTAACTTTATTCAGTTTTGAGGAGTTGGGGGATTCTTTCTCATCTGTACTCTTGCATATGGTTATGTTTAACCAAGTACTTTGAGCCATGTAATCTACTAGAAATATTCTCTACAGAAATAGTCCAAATACAAAGACTAGAAGGGAATTCTATGCTTACTCGCTATATAAAAATGTCCTAGATAGGCTCTTAAAGAGGTTAGACACAAATAGTGTAGTATGATCCAGGTGTGTCACATGCTGTGTCCCTGAACATTTCCTTAGTAGCACTAGCTGCAGTGAAAACACTGGCTTAAAATTCCAGCCTCCATAGCGTTCCCTGTGTGACCATTGCTGGAATGCTCTGAAGAGCACTGTAAGGTCTTGCTCAGAGGCCTTTGCAATAGCTGCTCTGTTTTTACTTTAAGGTTGGAGAAAATCTTACAAAAATTGATAGAAAGTCCAGCCAGGATCAGGTTAAAACAGCCTTTCCATAGTTAGATTTAACTAATTTCCTAGAAAGGATCTAAAGTTTCTTCCTGGATTTAAGATGTGTATCATTACCTCTGTGTGATGACAGCTGGTAGATTCAGGGTTTTAGGATCTAAGTGTAAAGCTGCAGAAAGTTCATTCTTGAGAAACTGCAAGAGTTGTAACCCCTGACTAGAAGTCCAGTCGGTTGGGTTTCTTTGGATATGGAGTTTCTTGGCCTGTAGATGAGAATACTCCTTGGGTGATGGTGTTAGGGGGATATTGTGAGATGATCTATAGAAAATAAAACCCAGAGAGTAAGAATCAGTCTCCTGCGGAGCCGTTCTGTGCAGTAGCCTCTGCCTTCTGGACTTGAAGCTGTGCAGAGAATGCTTACTCGGCACAGTGTCCCTGAAATAACCTCTCTCTCTGTTGCAGCAGGGTGGAAAGCCGTTAAGGCACAGCAGTTTGCATTAGCAGAAGATGGAAGTGTTTCCTGAAGTGCATAAGCCATCCCTGAGGCTGGAGTGTGAGCACTGTGGTTTCAGAGGCACTGACTATGAGAATGTGCAGGTGCACATGGGTTCTACCCACCCTGAGTCATGTGATGCCATGGACGCTGCAGGGCTGGGCAGGTTGATATTCTACCAGAAGAGTGCCAAGCTCTTCCACTGCCATAAGTGCTTCTTTACAAGCAAGATCTTTTCCAACGTGTACCACCACATCACAGCCAAGCACGCAGCCTCGGCCTCTGACAAGTGCTCAGATAAGCCAAAGGACCAGCTGAGCAAAGAGACTGAACCCCAGAGCACAGCGTTCGACCCAGCAGAAGCGAGGCCCACTCCTGCCCTCCCCGTAGAAACACAGAAAACTGGTCCAAGTGTGTCTCCAGAGCCACACAAATCTGTTCCTCCTGCCCTGGAGCCTCAGGATCCTGGCCCCATTTCTTCTGAGCCACAGGCCCCTTGTTTCCCTGCTGAGACCTCAAAAACTGCTTCTGTCTCTTCCCCTGAATGCCTAGACACAGCCAGTGTGGTTTCTGAGCTGCAGAAGCCTGCTCCTGCTTCTCCTGAGTCTTTCAAGTCTGCTCTTGTTAGCTCCAAACCCCAGAAGCACTCTCCCTTTGCAGATACAGGGGCTCCCCCTTGTGCCTTGTCTCCAGAGTCACCAGTTCTGGCCACATCTCCTGAGCCTTGGGGGCCGTCCCTAACCGCATCCCCTGAATCTCGGAAGCCAGTGAGGACTGCCTCCCCTGAGCCAAGGAAGCCATCTCCATCGGAGTCTTCTGAGGTTTGGAAGCCATTCCCTGCCATCACTTCAGAGCCACGGAGACCAGCCCCAGCAGTATCACCAGGTTCATGGAAGCCAGGGCCGCCTGGTTCTCCTCGACCTTGGAAGTCCAGTCCTTCATCAACATCGGGACCTTGGAAGTCATCTAAACCCGCTTCATCTATGTCCCCTGGACCTTGGAAGCCAATACCTTCTGTATCGCCTGGACCTTGGAAGCCAGCTCCACCTGTGTCTGCCGCACCCTGGAAGTCTTCCGTCTCATCTGGTTCCTGGAAGACACCCCCCACATCTCCAGAGTCATGGAAGTCTGGTCCTCCTGAGCTACGAAAGACACCTCTCACTTTGTCACCTGAGCTTCGCAGACCAGCCCCACCTCTCTCTCCTGAGATCCGAAGTCCAGCAGGATCTCCAGAGCTTAGGAAACCTTCTCCTGACCAGAGGAAAAGCTCTCCTGCTTCACTTGATTTCTCTGAGTCCCAGAAAACTTGTCATGGTTCTCCTGACCACTGGAAGTCCTTCATCACAGACTCTCAGAAGTCTGGCAGCTTCCCCGAGACACGGAAGCATGCTTCTCCTGGCTCCACTGAGCCCCCAAAGGCAGCCTCAGACGTATGGAAGCCTGTCCTCTCTATTGATGCTGAGCCTCGGAAGTCCACACTGTTTCCGGATTCCCCCAAAACAGTCCTTCCTGCTTCTCCCGAGACACGGAAACGTTCGCTTTTCCCAGAGTCCCGGAAGCATGTGCTTTTCCCTGAGCTCCCCAAACCTGCTGTGTTCTCAGATGCTCAGAAGGCCTCTGAGTTGAGTGAGGAGCTGCAACTGGAAGCTGGAGATGATGGGAAATGTGATAGTCTGGCCCAGGAAGGGCTTCTGGCTACACCCAAGAAACTGTTAGAGGATGCTTTATTTCCTTCTTCCAAGAAGCTCAAGAAAGACAGCCAGGAGAACTCAGATACTGAGCTCAGTAGCAGTGAGTACATCAGAACCGATTTAGACACCATAGACATCAAGGGCCAGGAGTCAAGCAGTGACCAAGAACAGGTGGATGTAGAATCTATTGATTTTGGCAAAGAAAACAAAATGGAGATGAGTAGTCCAGAGCAGTCTAAAAATGTGCTCCAGTTCACCGAAGAGAAGGAGGCGTTCATTTCTGAGGAGGAGATTGCAAAATACATGAAGCGTGGAAAAGGGAAATACTATTGCAAAATTTGTTGCTGTCGTGCCATGAAAAAAGGTGCTGTTTTGCATCACTTAGTTAATAAGCACAATGTCCATAGCCCATACAAGTGCACAATTTGTGGGAAAGCATTTCTTTTGGAGTCACTACTTAAAAATCATGTAGCAGCCCATGGGCAAAGTTTACTTAAATGTCCACGCTGTAATTTTGAATCAAATTTCCCAAGAGGCTTTAAGAAACATTTAACTCATTGTCAAAGTCGGCATAATGAAGAGGCAAATAAGAAGCTGATGGAAGCCCTTGAGTCACCATTGGAGGGGCCACAGATGTGACTTTGAAACAAAATACCTGCTCTACTATGTTGGTTGCTAAACCCAAGCTTGTTGAATAGCCTAGTAGATGCTGTGTACATGTAGTGTACCCTGTTCGTCTTAATACCATCATAAAGAATAAGCACTTGGTTTTTTTTTCATATCATCTCCTGTTTATGTGGCTGTATGTTTAATAAGTCAATACATTACTGCTATGTATTCCAGGTGGATATAGTTCATTATCCTTAAGTTCATTTTAGTCATAATGCAAGGAATTTGAGGAGATAGGCAGTTCATTTAGTAAACAAGTTTAAACCTAATTAAACCTTTCTCCTCTCTCTGTGTAATTGATTTCAGATCATAAAAATTATTAGGTAGAGGGCTCAGTGGTAGAGCACTTGCCTAGCATGTTTTGCATACTAGCTGTTCCACAGATCAATCTCCAGTACCTTTAAAAAAAAAGATTGTTTGAGAATTGAGCATGAAAAATAAATCTGGGAAAAATTTTGTTAATCTTATAAGTACTTTTGAATCATGTTTCATATCCTCTTCATGTAAAATCAGTGTAAGAATCTTTAATACTTTTCTTGGTGTTGTGGAGCTGGAGTCTTGGGGGTCACTGGTTTTTTGCTGACAGGATGATTGAGTAGTACCTAAGCAGTTTGCTATTTTCTGCAGACTGACAAGACCATGTGATTAAAATCACACTTAGCTGTAGTTATTTCCAGTGTGTCTTCCTTATGTCCCTGCCAGCTCATGTTAACAGATGATCCATAATTGCCAAATGAGTTAGAGTTTGTACTCCTACTCCTGGGCCTTCCATGCTCCCTGCTGGGACTCAAGACCTGGGTGATGAGTAGGAGTTGAAGTCTTCCGGACTCACCGTTGAAAATGAATGAACAGATAGTGAGGAAGTGCACACTAGTCTCAGTTACATGGGAGCCAGAGGTGGGACCATGTGGGCCCAGCCTGGCAGCATAGTGAACCCCTGTCTGAAAAGGCATTCCTTAGAAACATTTTGATTTTGTTTCACATAGTTTTGTCATTGTAAATACCTTCTTTCTCTTCATGGATGATTATTCTAACATATTTTGTTAAATGTTTATCAACCAAATTAAAAGGCTTTCATGTTAATATCTTCATGTGTACTTTCTTTTAATAATTGCATTATAGTCAGACTTCTGTCATTGTGACAGATCCCTAAGGAAGATGGTTTGGGAAAGGCTTGTTTTGGCTCATGGGTTGGGAGGTTTCAATGGTTCTTAGGCTCATGATGTGTAGGAAGGCCGTGTGTGGCAGAGGAACACTGCTCACCTCATGGCATTCAGGAGATAGAGGAGGAGTGGAGAAGTGCCAGAGCCAAGGTACATCCCTCAAAAACATCCTCAATGCCGAACCTTCCTCCAAGTGTGCCGCCACTTCCCAATAGTAGACTCGGGGGGTTGAAACCATTAGCCAGAACAGCCTCATGACCCACTCCTGAAAATGTCTTCACTAATGCCATGAGCGTCTCTATCCACCCAACTCAGCCAGATTAACCACAGGAATTTCCATCTAACTGCGATGCTAGGATGCTAATTTCTTGTGTTGACCGACAGAAACATCTGAGCTATGTTTTCCCTGAGTTCTGTAAGTTAGGAGCCACTGTGAGCACTGTTGGAAGTCTCTCGTGCACATGAGTGTACTAAAATGTGCACTAAAGGCTGTTTGATTTCAGTGGTTGCCAGTCTCACCTGCCTCATCTTAACTCGAGTGGGCTGGTGGTGGTTGTCTACTGCTTGAATGGACACAGTAAGACTTAGCTCATTGGGTTCCAAGTCTTTAGTCCTGTTTTTTGTTTGTTTGTTTTTAAGCCAGGGTTTCTCCATGTCTGTCACAACCCCTGTTGTGTTTTTGCTCTTTTGACTATTTGAGTGGTTCACCACCCAGCTCCCAGATGAATCACACACAAAGGCTTATTCTTAATTTTGAGTGCCCAGCCTTAACTTGGCTTGTTTCTAGCTAGCTTTTCTTAGATTAACCTGCCTGCCTTTTCCCTCTAGGCTTTTATCTTCTGTGTTGCTTACTTTCCTTTTTACTCCATGGCTGGCTGAGTGACCGGCCCCTGCTGTCCTCCTCTCCCTGTTTCTTGCTTTTTCTCCTCGTCTCTCCTATTTATTCTGTCTGCCAGCCCCGCCTATCCTTGCTCCTGTCTCGCTATTGACAGTTCAGCTCTTTGTTAGGGCCATCAGGTGTTTTAGACAGGCAAAGAATCACAGCATCACTGAGTTAAATGCAGCATAAACAAAAGTCACACACCTTAAAATAATATTCTACCACAGATGTATATTAGGTATTTACAATTCTTAACAGCAACATTACAGTTTAGGAAGTCAATGAAATAATTTTATGGTTTGGAGTCATCACAATATGTGGGACTATATTAAAGGGATTTTGCATTAGGAAGGTGAGAACCACCTTAATCTTTTTGGGGGGTGGTCAGGATTTGAACTCAGCTCCTTGCATCTGTATGCTTGTATAACAAGCATTCTTGCCTGGAACCACCTTAAATTAATGCTTGCTTATTTTTTATTTCATTTGCATGTATGTATGAGGGCATTGGCTCCCCTGGAACTGGAGTTACAGACAGTTGTGAGCTGCTATGTGGGTGCTGGGAATTGAACCCAGGTCTTCTGGAAGAGCTGTCAGTGCTCTTAACCACTAGGCCATCTCTCCAGCCCAAGAAACACCTTAAATTTAAACCATTGATTTTGCCTCACACACTCTGGTTTTAAGAACTACTTACCGTGAATTAATGAAATGACTTTGCATCCTGTACAACAACTTATTTTTTAAAGATTGATGTATTTGTTTAATGTGCCCTGATGTTTTTCCTGTATATACTTTATGTGAGGGTGTGGGATTCCCTGGAACTGGAGTTACAGAAGGTTATGAGCTGCCAAGTGGGTTCTGGAAATTGAACCTGGGTCCTTTGGAAGAGCAGCCAGTGCTCTTAACCACCGAGTCATCTCTCCAGCCTCACAATAGCCTCTTAATAATACGACCAATTTAATGTATTTTTATTTTCTTCCTCTGTAAGACTATTTCTAATGAGTTTTCAACTCAGTGTTTCCATGTAATCTATCAGGAGTAAACAGTGTCATCTTATTCCACAACATCCACGTCTATGATGTGGGTTCTTTATCTTGGATAACTGAAAAAGCATCCCAACAAGTCCTATGTGATTCTTTGGAGTGTCTTCCTACTGCCTCCCTGGTCTACCACTGGTCTTCCACTGCTTAGACTGTTTGTAATTGCTGATGTGCCCTCAAGTTCCAACTTGCCTAGGACAAAGTAAATTCCAATTCTAATTACCCCTTGGGGTCTAGTTGCTGCTGTTGGCAAACCACTCAAGCAGCTTTCCCATCTTGATCTCCTGGTCTGCTTGTATGCTAAGTGACCTGTGGCTCCGCCAAAAGCATGAGAGAGATACAGGCTCTAGTTTTCAGAAGTACCTATTCCTCGGGAGTCAAGTAGGTTGGGGTCTGGTCAACAAATGTTAAGTGGCCTACATACCCCAATTGTAAGACTATGACTAAAACACATGACTAATACTGTAAGATGTAGTTCTGTGCTACTTAAAAGACACAAGAACAAATTTAAGAGAACAATCAGTTGTTTTAGAGACAGGGTCTCATGTAGCCCAACTTGACCTCACTGTGTGGCTAGGGATGATTTTGAACTTATGATCTTCCTGTCTCTACCTCCTGTATTTTGAGATTACAGGCATGCAGTACCATGCCCAGTTTTATGTGGTGCTGGGAATTGAACCCAGGGTCTTGTGTATGTTAGTCAAGCACACTACCAACCAAGTTACACTTTTAACTCTGGCTTAGGGAAGGAAGTACAAGAGCAATATGGGTTATTAATGAACAAGGGATGAATTTAGTGACAAATATAATAGCCTTAACTACTATCTACACCTTCAAAATATAGAAGGCAAAAGGAATCTAAAAAACAGCTGGAAGATTAATTTACTTCTTGAAGCTTACAAATGTCAGTGCTATATTCAAGATTTGAACTTCCCTCTAGGAAACTATCATTTCTGTAAAATTTAGGATTTGCAGGATAGGCACATTTCAATTACTCATGGGCATAGCTAAAATAATCTGGGCCCTAGGATGAATTAAAAACTTCAAGGATTGAAATAATATTTATAACTCTTGTGGAATCAAGTTAGAAATCACCAATGGAATGACAACTTCCAGGTGTTTAGAGAGTAAAACCATTGTAAATGACAAAAATGGAAGTCATTTTGCATCAGATGATGGTAAATATATGACAGAAATTCTGAGATGTAGCTAGTGCTCTGGGTGGGGTGGGAAAAAATTATAGTAGAGAGAGGAAATAATTGCTGTTAAGCAACCCAAAGTAACAGCTGCATGGTGAACAGTGAGTGGCTGACAGCCTCGTCAAGGCAACTTGGAGACTGGATGAAGACGGCTGTGGTACCAGTCCCTCTTAACAAGGGCTAGGCATCTAGGACTCGCATGGAAGGACATGTTGGCTTGTGGGGGGATTCTGCTGTTATCACAAGGGCAGGCATGTGCACATTCTGGGACTGATGAGAGTATTCAAGAATTAGGGGAAAGGTGCTGTGGTTTTGAAATGACAAGTGAGAGGAGATTGTCAGTTTGTGCTGTTAGAGAAGGCCACAGCTGAGCAGCTCAACCAATTTCACAGCCTTGGAGACTGAGAAGGAAAGTTCAAACAGTCACTTCCTTGCAAGGGTCTTTTTTCCTGGTTTTCCAAGGACTGTTTTCTTGCTAGACACCCCCTACTCCCCACACAATATGGTAATATCAAAGAATGAGTAGCTATGAACAAAATTTTTAGAATACATCTACATCATGGTTCTTATGATGAGGTCAGGTAGAAATGAGGACCGTGTAATAGACCGCATAGAAAAGGGCATCTTGGCTGTACTGCCCAAAGCCCCTGCCTTGTATTGTAGGAGAAGCATCTGCTGCTCCCAGGTTTGGAGGCTGAAAGCCCAAGGTTGGGTGGCCCCTGTCTGGCTTCTGTTAAGGGTCTTAGTGTTCCATCAATGTGAAGAGACACCATCACCGGTTGTAGGAATTTAGCAGAGTCTCTTGTGTCTGGGGTAGACATTAGAATGAATAGTTTTCACAGTATCCAGGGTAAACATTAGAGTATATAGTTGTTTTCTAGAAGTGCCTCCTGAGTGCTGGAATTAAAGGCATGTGCCACCATGTCCAGCTACTGGAGAGATGGCTCAGTAGTTAAGAGCATTGGCTCCTTTTCCATTGGTCCTGAGTCCAATTCCCAATAATCACATGGTGGCTCACAGCCATTTGTAATGAGATCTGATGCCCTCTTCTGGCCTGCAGGCCTTCATACAGACAGAACACTATATACATAATAAATAAATAAATTTTAAAAAAGAAAAGAAAAAAGACCATAGAGTCACGAGGGTATGTGATGCTTTTCCTTTAGAGAGACAGGTTAGGTTAGGTTAGATTAGATTAGATTAAATAACTTGGTATGAGGAAATACTACATATCTGGAAATAAAGACTTCAAATACATTTCATTCTAATATAGTGCCAAAATTTTGAGGGACTAAACTTTGAGTGATAAATGTCTTGTTTGTTTTTGAGACAGAATTTCTCTATACATCTTGGTTGGTTGGCCTGTACTCACTTGGTAGCTCAGGGCAGTCTTGAACTCTTGGTAATCCTCTTAACTCAGCATAATGTTGGGATTACAGGGTTATAGCACCATATGAAACTTGAAACAAAATTTTCAATTGATTATGGAACATATTTGTCCATTAGTTTAAAATACTCCAGAGTCTTTCACTTTTGGAAGAGCAGTCATTTGATATTTGAATTACTGTGGTAGTTTGAATGTCATTGGCCCCCATAATCTCACTGGGAGTGGCACTGTTAGGAGGTGGGGCCTTGTTGGAGGAGGTGTGTTATTGTGGAGGTGCTTGGGGTCTCATATATGCTCAAGATACCGTCCAGTGTCTGACTTGACTTCCTGTTGCCTGCAAGATGTAGGACTCTGAGCTACTTCTCCAGCACTATGTCTGACTGCATGTTGCCATGCTCCCCACCATGATGATAATGGACTGAACCTCTGAACCTGTAAGCCTGAATTAAATGTTTTCCTTTATAAGAGTTGCTGTAGTCATGGTGTCTCTTCACAGCAACAGAAACCCCAGTACAGTTATGAAATAGTTAATAACTTTATTGGCATATTGAGGACAGGTGTTTGAGCCTAGCTTGTTGGGGCTGGCAGAACCCAGGCTTTTATCCAGAATTCTCTGGTTAAATGTATAGCCTAGAAAACAGCTAGAGAGGGGACAACTGCTGGCCCCTATAAGCTCATAGGATGTGTCACTATTAGGAGGTGTGACCTTGTTGGAGGAAGTGTGTCACTGTGAGGGTAGACTTTGCGGTCTCTTTTGCGGAAGCTTCCCTTAGTGTGACTTTCAGGTCATTTCCTGTTTCCTTCTGATCAAGATGTATCCAGTACCATGTCTGCCTGCATGCCACCATGCTCCCAGCCATGACGATAATGGACTGAACCTCTGAACTTTAAGTGAGCCACCCCAATTAAATGTTTTCCTTTTAAAAGTTGCTGTGGTCATGGTGTCTCTTCACAGCAATAGAAACCCTAATGAAGACAGAATTTAAAAACAAACAAACAAAAGAACATATTATGCTGAGATTCACAGATCACACCTGGACAAACTTTGGTATCTGGTACTCTTGCTTTATAGTTCTTAACTCTACATCCTCCCCGTGACCCCCATACATGTGATCTTCCCTACACGACAGCTGTAGCTGCCTCAGAACTCTAGTCACACATGGAATAAAACAGCTTGCTTCTCAGTTCTGCCCCCACCACAAAAGCCCCATTCTTGGCTCTCGTACATTTACTTTTCAGGCCAGACATGCCATGGTCTCATCGCCCGTGGCCTTAGGTGGAGGAAAGAGAGTGGCCACAATTGTCCCTTCATTAGAAACAGGGGAAGGTATCTTTTCTCTCCCCAGGAACACCTTGACCATATGACTGCTGTCTTCTTCCCAAGTTTCCCCTGTCCACACACCTGTCAGCTGAGTGCTGTGATTCTTACTTGTATTTCAGATATGAACTTTTTTCGTGGTTTAGCTTCAATCATGTGGGGGAAGGTAAGAAGCAAGTCCTGTCTGTCAAATGGGCAGATCACAGGCTCTCCCCTCCCCCACCACACTTACACACAGAGAGCCAATGAAGAGGACACAGTATTGAAAACAGAATTCTCTGCCAGTCAAGGATTATATAATTGCTGGCTTCAAATGCCATTTAGTTTCCAGTCTCACTTCCTGTAAACTAAGGAAATGTTTAGCCTTTCCTTCAGGGGGAATAGGAATAGGCCACAAAGTCACCAGAGACTCCAGGGTTCCAATCCCTACTAAAATGTGCCAGACACACAGAAGCAAAGCTAAGATGCTCTCTCTCTCTCTCTCTCTCTCTCTCTCTCTCTATCTCTGACAGTAGTTTGGGTCTATCAATACTTCCACCCTTAAAATGTAATTCAGGGGAAGGGGCAAGCCTTGGTCAGAAGCATACAATCATAAGGAAATGCAGACAAAGTATACTGAGTTATTTTTTTCCTTCCTTTATTTATAAAGAACACAACTCTGACACAGACAAAAATGTCAACACACTCCAAAGAGTCCATTCACAACAGTAACAACAAAATGGGACAGTGGCAGGACCCAGTCTACAGCTGTCTGTGGCCCACACTGAGGGGCCACTGGGAACAATGCCTTCAATGGGCCATGTCACCGAAGACACATGAGACAAGTCTTGATCTGGAGAACACAAGAGCCCCCTCAAGGCAGAAAGGGACATGTTTAGTCTTCAGCATCATCAAACTGTCCTGTTTCAAAGACCATTTTAGAATAATGTGGTATTAGTGGAGGTGGATGGTGCCAACTGGGGTCATACATCATGTCTCCCTGTGGGGCACAGCACACCCAAGGTTTGATCTCCTGAGAAATGCTCCCCTGGATGTCATCGGCATCTGTGGACAGTTTCAAAGGACAGATTAAAAGGAAGGAGGGAAAGTGAAACAGGATTGCACAAGAAAAAATATCTAGAGGGAAGACTTGTGTGTGTGTGCGCGCGCACGCACACACACACACACACACACACACCTCCTTTCCTGAAGACACACAAACAAGGAACTCTGAACAACCTGTTTATCCTTCTCAGCGTTTTCTCAAGTGAAAAGGAAAACAAATGGATAGCAAAGCACCGCTGTCTGCATGGCTCATTGCAAAGCCTTTAGGAGAAGATTTCCTTGTTAAAGCAAATTGACATTGTAGAGTCAGTGGGATTTGTTTTTAATAATAATAATAAAAAAAAGCAGAAATTCCAGACCTGGACCAGAGATGAGGCTGAGCTCATGTATATGATCCCACTCCCAAACCATGTGTGTAGGGGCAGTGTGAAGGAGGCCTTAGCCCTCCCTACCTACCGTAAGGATTCCCTTGGTCTGCTTTCAGTTCCAAGTCCCAATCCTCAGTAAAAAGATCAGCAGCCTGTTCCATGGGTGGACCTTCTGACAGCTCCCAGGCATACAGTTCCCCATTGGCTTCCCTCTCCTCCACAGCAAAGCTGTCCTCTTCCAAACTTGGGCCCTCATTGTGGGCAGGAATGTCATTAGGGATGCTCTGAGCTCCACTGGCTGTGAAATCAACAAAAGGAACTTTTAAAAAACTGGAGCAGTTCTGCTCATAATTTTCTGCTAGCTTTCTTCTAAATGGAAGTAAAAATCTAGACAAACCTTTTAGTTTATATTTTAGAAATGGGGTGATCTTTTTTTTTTTTCTGTTTGTTTTTGTTTTTTGAGACAGGGTTTCTCTCTATTATTTTGGAGCCTGTCCTGGAACTAGCTCTGTAGACCAGGCTGGCTTCAAACTTGCCTCTCCCTCTGCCTCTGCCTCCCCAGTGCTGGGACTAAAGGTGTGCACCACCAACGCCCAGCCTAAGACAAGCCCATTGAGTACAGAGGGACTTGCACAGGCTGTGTTTTCACCTAGTTTACAAGTCACTGAACCCAAAGGCCTCTGGCAAATGATGTGCTTTTACTGTTCAAACCTGTGTTGCACTTTCCTCTTGAAAGCTTAATAGTTATTACAAAGGGAAACAGAGAACAGTCCCCAGTCTTCCCCCTGAACTCGGGAAGCCTCACTGCAGTGTGACAAAGTCTGTGGTAGGACAGTGGACCTCCAGGGCCCTGGAGTCCTGTGGCGATGCCAGGGCTGGGTGAAGGAGTAACTGGCCTGAAAATAGCTGCAGTGTTAAGGCTGTCACAATGGTCTTAACTGATTCCTCAATAATGTGAACATGGAATTACTGCATGCCCCAGCAATTCCACTCATAACAGTACACCCAAAAGAACTAAAAATAGTTCAGACAAGAAAAAAAAAAAAGTTCCCTGCAGCACCATTCATAACCACCACATGCATGAGCAGATGAATGGTCAACAAAGTTCGGTCAACACATGCCATCAGCAGATGAATGGTTATCAAAGTGTGGTCTACCCAGTGGTGGGACTGTCCAGCCACAGGGGAGTGATGGGGGCTGCCACCAAGATGCCAGACACAAGAGACCATGTATTTTATAATTTCATTTACTGTAAAGTCCCAATTGCTTGTTCATAACAGGTAATCATTAGGAGGGGAAAAAAGCTGATCAGTACTTAGGAGCTCAGGAACTAGAGAGTGAGTAGTGTCTACTCACAGATACAGGATTTTCTTTTGGGGGGGGGTCATGAAAATATTCTACAATTAGTGATGACTACTGTACAACACTGTCACTGGGCTGAATACCACCAAACATTTTAAAATAGCTAAATGGTAACTTTATAGGATACATCCTTTACCACATTTAAGACTTTATTTTGTGCCTTAAGTTTCTCATCAGTAAAACAGTAACCAAGATGCTGTGAGTTATTTAGGAGAAAGAAGGAGACACTGGGGATTGTGCCTGAAATAGTAAGTACTTAGCACCTGCCAACTGCTATGATTATAATCACACGATTGATCTACACTCTCCATTAGGACTTTCTTCCAGAATAGACAGAACATCACATGTGTTCACTGAGCATGGTTAAAAAGAGGACTGAATTTCTTATTTATTTAACTGTAATTACACAGGGGCTAGTGGCTAGTGCATTAAGGCGGTATTATCAGCCCATTCTACAGATAAGCTAAGTGACTTATTTTTCACTGTGAATGAAAAATGAAAGTTCAAGGACTATAACCTGGACCTGAAACAGTTTTTCTATCTATATACTCTGTGTGCTTTCCAGTGCCCCGTGTTGTTCCTCCTAGTGAAGTGGGTGGTTCCAAGTGAAGGGGTCCTGCTGAAAATATGGGCAAAGGAGGGAGCTCACTAAAAGAGGGCTGGCTAGCAAGAGAAGGCACACAAGGCTAAGGGACCGTTAGGCTGTTTCCTCTCCACCTCTTCAGCATCCACCCCAGTCTCTGCTGTCTACTTGCCTAGTCGATCCATGGCCATCTCAGTCTCTGTCTCTTGACCAGCTGCAGCAAAGCCGGCCTGTGGAAGAAGAAATCATCAGGAACTCAGGCATCTGGGACATGCCATCACCTTAACGCTTTGAGCCCACCATTCCACAGTGCCCTTCACACTGCTGGTGACAACGATTCAGCAAGGCTAGAGAGAGCAGGGCCTGGTAGGCATTACCCCAGCAGTTAATGTTCACAGCTTGAATGATTAGGCCAGATTTCAATCTTAGCCTTGCCATGTGCTCAGGGTGTGACCTCTGGAAACTGGGGATGGTTGTTCTGACATTGCAGGGCTCCTATGCTGACAGAACATTTGTGAAAACACCCAATACAGGCTGGAGATGTGGCTCACTTTAAAGTTTTCATTTATTTACATATTTATTTAGGTATTGCGCTTGTGTGAATGTACCAAGAGGAGGCGGTGTTGGATCCCTAGAGAGGGAGTTGCAGACAGCTCTGAGCCACCTGCTGTAGGTACTGGGAAATAAACCAAACACCACCACCACAATGCCAGCTCTCAGTCTTACATGAACTTTTCATCATACACCTGTGCTTAGCACACACCCTGGCTGGCATCCATTAAACAGTCATGCCTGGACTTTTAATGATTCAATTCCACTGTGGTCAGTGATAAGCCAGAACCACATTGCCCCCCAAGGTGTTGGAGCGAATAGGCACAAAGCAGCCTTTTCCTATGACTTAGAGCTTGGGTCTTACAACAGGCCTTTTACCCAAGAGGTCTATGTTCAACAGTGTTCCATTTCTTATTCTTTCTTTCTTTTTATTTGAATTTAGCTTATAAACAATCATATTTTACATATCAATCCCAGATCCTTTGCCATCCTCCCATGCTCCCGACCAACCCCCCCATCCAATCCCCAAGGAGGATGAGGCCTTACATAAGGGATCATCAAAGTCTGTCACATCATTTGGGGCAGGGACTAGGCCCTCCTCCATGTATCTGGGTGGAGAGGATCCTTCCTTGGGGAATGGGCTCCCAAAGTTCATTTGCACACTAGGGATAAACACTCATTTCGCTGTCAGAGGCCCCATAGACTGCCCAGGCCTCACAATGCTCCATTCCTGACCTCAAGGCCTTGGCTGGGCCACCTCCCTCTCTAACAAAATTGTCCTCCTCTTCACACTAATTTTCTGCGAATCTATTGCTACTGTTGCTGCAAATACCATCTTGGACGCTCAAGCAAGCATTCCATTCACGGACCCAATTAGCATATACGTTGTGTCAGGCATAAGGCGTGCCTTCTGGTAAATAGGACGCCTACAGTCAAGCTCTGTGTAGAAGTGGACGCTGAGTAAGAGCGGGTCATATGAAAAGGCTGTATTGCGCCCACTTGAAAAAGAAGTTTCTGGAAACCGCGTGTCCGTTTCACCAAAAGGGAAAAAGAACCGGTGACATCTAACATCCAAGGTCAGCTGCATATCCCCACCAACGGCCAGAGGTGCTCAAGGGAAAAAAAAAAAAAAAAAAAATCCGTTTCCTCGCCGCTCCCACCCGACCCTGGCCCCAAGCTCCACCTTCCCTCCCGAGCAACCCCGGATCCCCACGCGCTCCCGCCGTTACCGGCCCGGCTCTGCGCGTGCTCGCAGGGGGTGGGGGCGGCGTTTCCCGGGTGAGCGGCCTTCCTGCAGCGCGCGAGCCCGGAGGCTTCCAGCCCGGGGGGTCGCAGGTGCCCGCGCCCCCCATCCCGTGGCGCTCACCTCTGCGCTGGGGACCTGCCGCGCACTTGGGTCTCCCGACCCCTGACCAGTGGCTTCCTGAGGGTCCATGCCCCGCCGCCCACAGCTAGGCGACCGGGACGCTCCGGCACGTGACGGCCGACAGGCTGCAGAGGGGCCAATCGGCTCGGCGCTGCCACCGAGGGGGCGGGGTGGCGCAGGGGCAGCGGCGCCGGACGACACGCCCACCTGCGTCGTGAGGGGACCACAGGCTCCCAAGCTCATCTTGACAGGCCTGGTTTGGTGGATTGGACACCGTGACTTCCCCATCGCACTATTAAATGACCAGAGTCCACCCTACAGCGTAGATAGCCCAGACGTCGACACGGTCAAAGCCACTGCTGTTCCACCACTTTTCATTCCAAACCATCACAGGGTACCAGATTTCAGGTTGCAGCTGGTCCACAGCATCCAATAATGAGTGAAATAACTCAGCAGTCTGGAGACTTGTCACCTTCGCTTAATGATCGCATTTCAAGTCAGCGTGCTATCCAGAAACATTGTGTGATTGTGTTAGCTAACTTGGAAGTCACAACCTGTGCTCTAAGTGAGTGATGTGACTACATTGGATAAGTCTCCATTTTCTTCCTGCGATTAATTTGGCCGTTTTTATTGGTTTGTTGAGAATGGATGCCTGGACCTGACTTGGGGCTCAGATTGTGACCCCCAAGTTCAATAACCGTTAGGCAGTAGAAGTTGACCAAATCTCCATCTGGCTGGCTGGATCTGAATGACCCAGCTGTAAGGACAGCCTTTACTGTTCTATCCCCCCACCCCACCCCGCACAGCCTAAACTCTAGCAACAAGCTAGTTGAAGGCATGGTTATCAGGAAAGCTGGGATTCCTTACTCATCAAACCACCTTATGACATTGCTTAGAACACTGATGGGAGATATCCTTCTGTATGTATGTTTCTCTTATTGGTTGAAGAATAAAACACTGATTGGCCAGGAGAGGCAGGAAGATAGGCAGAGCTAAGAGATGAGGAGATGGCTGGGGAGAGAATTAAAGAGGCACCACGAGGAGACCATGTAGTGGAGGAAGGAGTAACAACAGGTCCTGACCCTTCTCTGGTAAGATAAGACCACGTGGAAATACTCAGATGAGTAGAAATGGGTTAATAATTAAGACAGAGCTAGCCAATAAGAATCCCTAGCCAACAGTTTTATAATTAATATAGCGTCCTTGTGTTTATTTGGGGCAAAGCGGTTATGGGACCAGGTGGGGCAGAAACCCTTATCGTCAGAACATCAGCATTTTCATCTTCCTTAAAATGACATAAGGCATTAAGCATCTTTTTTAAAGGTAAAGTTGATTTATGTTTTCTTTTCTCTTTACATAGTCGTTCCCCTGTCATTTCTTTAAATCTAACAGACTCTAAGTCAGCACTGCCCAGGGAATCTTCTGCAACAGGTAGAAATAAAAGCTCTTGTCACTATGGTAGCCACGTGTTTACCGAGCATTTAAAATATGGTCAACGTGAAAAGAAACACAGTTACTTAATTTCAGATATAAACTTGTAAATGTGGCCATCACAACTGACTACAACTCTATAAACTAGTTATACATTTTTTATAATAGGCAATTAGGAAAATGGTATACAGCAGTACAATAACCCAAGGGTGGCTAGAGGTCATAATACAGTGTCTGTCTTTGTCACTGTTCTATTGCTGTGAAGACACCCAATGCAACTATTACAAAAGAAAGCATTTAATTTGAGCTTGCTTACAGTCCCAGAGGTTCAGTCCCTTACCGTCATGGCAGGAAGCATGGCAGCAGGTGTAACAAGCACGGTGCTAGAGATGCATTTGAGAGCTGCCTTCTGATCTACAAGCAGAAAGAGAAACACAGGGTCTGGTAAGGGCTTTTGAAATCACGGCCCACCCCCAGCGTCACGTCTCCTCCAACAAGGCCACACCTCCTAACCTTTCTAATCCTGTCAAAGAGCTCCCCTTCTTAGTGACCTCCTTGCTTAAATCATGTCAGGTTTTGATTGCTCTCCACCTTAAATGTCCAGACAGCATCTGTCACTGAACCTGCAGTTCATTGATTAGGCAAGACTATCTGTCTAGCAAGGCTCAGGGAGCCTCCTGTTTCCATCTCTCCAATGCTCTGTTTTGCTCATGATCCAAACTCTGGTCCTCATTCTTATATGGTAAGCATTTACTTACTGAGCCATCTCCCTAGCCCCTAAGATTCTTCAGTGATGTAGAAAAACAACATTGTTAAGTGAAGGATTTTTTTTTTCTTTTTTAGATTTACTTATTATGTATTCTGCCTACATGCCAGAAGAGGGCACCAGATTCATTACAGATGGCTGTGAGCCCTCATGTGATTGCTGTGAATTGAACTCAGGACCTCTGAAAAGAGCAGCCCGTGCTCTTAACCCCTAAGCCATCTCTCCAGACCCATTAGTGAAACTTAATAAAACGGTATTGCGGTTCCTCCAGTGACACAGGTGTTAAGGTCGAGGATGTAATTCACACTGATGGACGTTTGCTCCATGCTATCAGAAAGCCCTTCTGTGCCCCCAGCTTTTCTCTAACCTCCCTGCTGAGGGCTGTCTCACAGCTCCGACCTACTCCTCTCACTCTCATTGCCACGCCTTTGAATGTAAACAGCCCTTTGCTTGTCAGTCTTTGGGATAAATGAAACACTTTTACACTGTCTACACTTCTCCAAGGGTGCTCCCCCAGCTCTTCCGTTTCTACAGTTTGAACCAGCTCTTTTGGAAGATTTAGCTGTCTTACCAATCCCCCTGTACGTGATGAACACCCAGCCATCTCTTGGATGATCTGAAAGTACCTATGCAATCTGAGTAAGAAAATCAAAGGGCCGAGTTCACCTCTAGGTAGAACACAGTAGGTTTTCATTTCTCTTCTCTGCACTGTCTTACTTCCTCTGTATTTGAACATACGTCACATATATTTATGATAGGGAAAGATCAGAGGCAAGTGTACTATCTCATCCATTTTAACTGGCTCCACCATACCATGTCTCTATTAGACATACATGATATGCATATGTATACACACACATGTGCATAAATGAAAATCAGCTGTAGGAACATTTTAGAAACATTTGGGAATTGTGACAGGGCTAGGTATGGTGGCACTTGCCCAAATAACAGCACTTGGAAGGCTTGAAGCAGCTGGTAACCTTGCACCCACATTCAAGGAGCATAAAGCAATGAAGGCTTGTGGTTGGGTCACTTTCTCCTTTTGTATAGTGCAGGGCCCCAGCCCAGGACATGACTCTGCATACTCTCCAGCTGGATCTTCCACCTCACATAACCTAATCAAGTGATTCCTCACAGATGTGGCCAGAGGCTTGCCTCTCAGGTTATTTTAGACCCTGTCGAATGGATAATTAACACAGACCATCACCATTCATTAAACAGTCTGTGCAAACTGTTTAAATTTAAAAAGATATTTTGGCCTGGTAGTGGTGGCATGGCCTTTAATCTCAGCACTGGGAGGCAGAGGCAGGCAGCTCTCTTAAGTTCTGAGTTCAAGGCCAGCCTGGTCTACAGAGTAAGTTCCAGGACAGCTAGGGCTACCCAGAGAAACCCTGTCTGGGAAAACAAACAAATGAAAAGAAGGTTTTTTTTTGGAAACATATTCTTGCTGGAGTACTTAGTACAGTGGCAAGTAGCAAGAGAAATCCTGCCTTAAATAAGGTAGAAAGTGGAAGATCTACACCCAAGATTATCCTCTAATTTGTACATATGGGACATGGCATATACATGCTCAAACTCATATATAAGCATGCATGCATATACACACATGTATGCATGTACACACACAGAGAGAGAGAGAGAGAGAGAGAGAGAAACCCACATATGACACACCTGTAACTCCAGCATTTAGGAGGAGGAAGGGGGAGACAGGAAGATCATGGGTCCCTTGGCTACCTGAGACCCTATCTGAAGACAGAAATATAACAATATAAAACCATATGCACCCATGTCTATAAAATTACAGTGTGGTTGCCTGTGTGGATATGATAGGATTACAAACACATTTTCTCAGACATTCTAAAACTTCTAGTTCTCCTGCCACCACCTTCCAAATGCTGGGGTTACAGGTGTGCAATACCATACCAGATTTTTTTTTTTTTTAGTCTTGGAAACCAAGCCCGCTCTTCCTATGTTAATCAGTCCACACTGAAGCCACAACCCCAAGACTTGCTTTTGGATTTTTGTGCATTAGTTTTTATCTGAGTCATTCCAATCCACCTCCCTCATAGATTTCATTTATAAACACAGAAACGGGCTGGAGAGATGACTCAGTTAAGAGCACTGGCTGCCCTTCCAGAGGATCTCTGTTCAATCCCCAGCAACCACATGGTGGTTCACAACAGCCTGTAACTCCAGTTCCAGGGGATGTTGGCTTCTGAAGGCAACACATATGTGCTTTAGCCAGATCATAAATAAATCTTAAAGACAACAAAACTAAACAGAAACACTAACTGAATGCCCATTTGCTTCTGTCAGGAGACAAGACCAGACAAAACGGGTGCTAGGAAGGTGTGGCAGCAGCAGTCCTATACCTAGCCTGGCTAGGAAGGAAGGAAGGCCCTGGACAGGAGACATTGAGTCACCTGTTCCGCAGGTAGAGCCTCGATCCTCTCTGCATGATCACTGTTCCTAAAGGGGCTCTCCGGGGTGGGGGTGGGACTAAGGAAGAATCAGAAATAGTCACTCACATTTTATTTTATTTTATGACGGGAGTCTGACTGTATAGTCCAAGTTCAGTCAGAAATCTGGATCTTCCTGTCTGTCTCCATTTCCCAAGTGCAGGGATCCAAGTGTGAGCCACTACTCGCTGCTTGAAGCAGACATCTGTACTGAATTATAATGAGGTCTAAAAATAATGAGCGCTACCATAACGTAGAAGCTCTGAGTCCATTTTCCTTGGGCACGAAATGCCTAGATCTCTTACTCCTTTTGGAACAACATAATTTTCCTGAAAAAGGAAAAAAAAAAAAAAAGACTAATGACTAAAGTTTTCCTGTGCAATAAAAAAATGAAATGTTTTCTTCTACAAGGACAGAAAGCCTTGTGAGTCTCCTACATATAAGCAAACACCCAGGCCACTCTGTAGCGGAGTTTATTGAAGATCCAGCTGCAAATTAGTGCAAAGAATGACATTCCCTTGCCTCATTCAATGTTTTGTGACCTGCTCACCCCTGGAGTCTGCTCTATTCACTTCTCTTGTTCATGTTTAGGAAAAATATTTTTGTTTTTTTTTTTTTTCTTTTTTCTTTTT